AAAAAAGAAAAAATATACTGTATGATTCTATTTGTATAAAATTCTAGGAAATGCAAACTCATCAGTGGAAGAGGAAAAGAAAGGTTAGAGGAAACGATTATAAAAAGAGTGAAGAAATTAAGGGATTTGGAGATTACTTTCAATATTGATTGTGGAGATCATATAGAGATAAATATCTCAAGAAAAAGTCATTTTTGTATAGTCAGAACCAACACTCACAGCTGGCATTCCAGCAGATTTCAGAGGATGTGTACCACACAGAAGGAATCTCTGGTAGCTTAGAGGTAAGGTACACAGTTTGAATCCACTAGCTGCTAAGTGGGAGAAAGGATGGACAATCTCCCATGTGATTCATTGTCTCTGAAAACAAAACCTCTTGGAAGGTCAGCTTTGGAATGGTTCTGATTTGAGAGTATACAACATACTACAAAGAAGATTGTCCAACATCCTCTCATGGAGTCGCTGTCTCCAAAACTCATGCATTTGGGGTGGAAGCACAAAATCCGTGTATGTATATATAAATAATTTTACAAAGTCTAATCAAATTGTATACTACAAAGATCTACAGTTTACTGGGCATTAATTACACCTCAATTTCAAATTATCAACTAAAAACACTTTAAGGCATTTTAATATTTATATTCTGTATATCAAGTGTGTTGTCATTTCATTACCTCTTAAATTGTATGTTCTCAAAAAAAAAAATTGTATGTTCTTATTCTTCCTTAGTGTCTATAGTAATTTTAAGAGAAGAATTAACAATAGCAATAGATTAATAATTTAATGGTCAGTTAAAATACTGGAACATTGTTTTGAAACTGTTTACAAGCATGCGCCATAGTAGGATGTTAGATTTAAACATTAATACATTAGTTACAACGCTTAAGATAAATATCAGTTAATTTCCTAAGTTTAGTAAATAAAAACACTTTCCATGTTAGAAAACTTTCATATATATTTAACTTATAATTAAGCAGTCTGTCAGTGGTTTTTAACCAACAATGGTTAAATCAATATACCTTTAAGCTCTGGATTCCTATCTAGGATTTCAACTTTTCTATTTGAAGACTTAACTTTTTCTTTCTTTCTTCCTCATATTAAATTATATATTCTTGGGGAGCTCTGGTGGCCTAGTGGCAAGAAGCTGCACTGCAATCCCAGAGGTATGCAGTTCGAATCCACTAGATGCTCTGCTGGAGAAGGAGGGACAATCTCCTCCTGTACCAGTCAGATCTGATTTGACGGTACACGCACAAAAAAAACCCAAAAAAACCACACGAAACAATAAAATAAAAAATAAAAAAATTATGTATTCTTTAAATGAGATATGCTATTAAGAAAAAAGTATCTCTTCCCAAAAACTTTTCTTGGTTATATTCACCCTAAGTCCAAAATTTTAGCAGCAGTTCCAGAGAAATCTAATGAGAACAAATTATGTCATCAGTGTTTTAATACATGTGAAAAATATCAAATTAGACACAGTAACTTATATATTACCTGGCCACATCCAGGGGCAGTGCATAGAAAGGGTTTGTCATCACTCATATTCCACAGGTCCTTGTATTGCCTATCGTAAATACAATAGTAAGAAGCAGTCAAGCACTTTTTAAAACATGCATTTCTAAAGAAAGAATAATTCAGAATATAAATCTCATAATTCCATTTTTACTAAGCCCATCGTTTTAATTTAATTTTAAAAATAAAACTTTACCTCTCATTTCAACTTTACCTGTCATCCTCTCAGAGTAGACAAATACACGTGACACAGATTTTGCACTAGAGAAGAATGATTAGGCTAAAAGGCTAAATCCTGTTGCTTTATAGAATAAAAGTACTTATGGTGAATAAACTATATTCAATCAAAAGTGGGGTTGTTTTAGATTTTTTTTAAATCAAAGTTTATAAAGAACTTAAGATTCCCATTCATTCACTATTGCACATTTTCCTCCCTGCCAGTTGACTTTTTTCTTTGGGGGGAAAAAAAATTCTTTCATTGTTATACAGTACCCCTTCCCACACTACCCTCTCCCACCACCACCACCACTTTACTATCCAACTCTTATTCTGGACTCTTGTCATGCCAGTAATACCTTATCATATATCCCCTTTATACAGTTCTCTTTCTCATCTGTTTCAATGCTATGTACATTTTTTTATCCCCTCTTTTTTGTTTACCCCAACCCCCATTATCAGTCCTAGTCTAGAACAGTGGCACTATGTAGTATTTGTGACTGAGATATTTCACTCGGTATAATGTCCTCCAGGGTCACCCATTTTGTATAATATTTCATGAGTTCCTTGTTTTTCAATGCAGCATAGTATTTCATTGTATGAATATACCACAGCTTTTCTATCCATTTGTTTGTTGATGGGCACTT